GCCTTTGTTTAGAAATCCTGCACTTTGATCTAGATGTGAGACAGAGAAGATTTTTGTTTTTGCCTCTGGGAAGTGGGTGAATATGTTTGTGGCTCTATGGAATTTATCTGAAAATGTTAGTTGGAACTTTTTTGCTGACATAAGTATGGAAGGACATGTTAGGAAGCCAAAGAGAGAACTGTGTGGAATCCAGCAGCTCACCAGTGCTCCATGTCCTACCATAGAAGCCAGAGAGAAATGACAGATGGTTTCTCTTTCTTCCCCTTGGAGGCCTGAGTGGGAGCCTTGGTCCAAGGAGAGAATTTCAAAAGTAAAATTAATAAGATTAAATATTTAGCTGTTTATGGTGATGCACACCTGTAATCCCAGCGCTCAGGAGGCTGAGGCAAGAGGGTCATCACAAGTTTGAGGCTACCCTGGGCTACATAGTAAGTTCAAGGCCAGCCTCAGCTACATAGTGAGACTCTGTCTCAAAAAATATTTTAAAAATGCAATATGTTTATTTATATCTAGAAATTATATTCTCTTCTTGGGCATCCAACATTTTAGTCTTGACACACTAAAAGAATAACTTCCCCAATTGAAAATAGAGACGTCAAATATTCTGAACATAGTGCAATAAAAGTAGAGAGGAATAACAGACGCATAAAAGGAAATTTTAGAAATAAATACAAATATTTTCCCAAAAATGCTAAGTCAAAGGAAAAATGAAAATATAATATCTACCCAGAAATTATATTACAGGTGGCATGCACCTGTAGTCCCAGCTGCTTTAGAGGCTGAGGCAGAAGGTGAGGCCCAGAATTTAAGAGTTTGAGACTAGCCTGGGCAACACAGGAAGACACCCCCACCTCTTAAAAAAAAGGTACAATGTAGACATTAATGAAAAGAGAATTGTTTTAGAAAAGTATCAAGCTCAAAATCAAATTTGAGCAAAATACTGACTCAAATATTTTCATCATTAAATAGGAAAGAATAAAAACAAATGAAATGAATATTCAACACAAGAATTTACCAAAATGACAAAACACACGTAGAAGGAAAAATAACATTAAAGCCAAAATTAGCGAATTCAAAAAGAAAAACCAGCTGGGCATGGGGGCACATGCCTGTAATCCCAGAACTCTGGGAGGCTGAGGCAAGATAATAGAAAGGTTCAAGCCCAACCTGAACAATTTAGCAAGACTGTCTCAAAATAAAAAAATAAGATGAGGATATAGCTCAGGGCAGAGGCCTTGAGTTCAATGACCAGTCCCCCCCGCCTGAGAGAGAGAGAGAGAGAGAGAGAGAGAAAGACAGAAAGACAGAAAGGAAGAGAGAAAAGAAGGAAGAGAATAACTGTATAGTTGATACAATCTGAGTTTTGGGGGGAAAGGGTAAAATAGACATTTTTTTTGTTTTACTTTTTTGATACCAGAGATCTAACTCAGGACCTTGTGCTTTCGAGGCAAATATGGTGCCACTAAACTAAAGCCCTGGCCCCCAAATAGACAAATTTTACGAAATTTTCACCAAAAATTTTCAGAAAAAGAAAAATAACACAATAAGTGGCATTTCAAATGAAAAAGAAAAAGAGCAAGGGAAAAACAGATACCTCTCTATTAATATGTCTGAAAATTTCAAAGAGATCTCTGAGAATAGAAAACTACCAAATAATTATGGAAGAAAATTGAACTATTTATAAAAAAATTATCTCTGAAGTAGTTTCTGAGGCTATACAAGTGGGGTCAAACCTTCAAGAATAGGTAATTCTTTTTGTTGTTGTTGTTTTGTGTACCGGGGAGAGACCTATGGTCTATTGCACTTGCAAGGCAGGCAGCAGAACCACTGGGCTAAAACCCCACCCCCAAAACAGGTAATTCTTACATGTAGATAAACCCTTCTAGAGTAGAAAAAAATCAAGAGCTGTGAAATAAAACCCAACATTGTTTAGCAATCATTTATGATGACCAAGTACAAATTATTCTAGTATTTTTAAGAAGTTTTATACAAAGAATTGAGTGTTTGGTAAATGTAGAAAATGCAACTAATATTATCAAGTTAGTTTCTGATGTTTTAGAAAAAAAAGACAAGTCTTCATTCAATGTGCGAAGCATATTCACCTCATTTCAGCAGCAAACCCATGTTTAGTAGTGAATTATATTCCCATTACCACTAGATCTAAGGTTGTTCTGGATATTCTGCCCAATGCAAATAAAATATGAAATAAAAATATGAAAAATGTTACTGGAAAAGGAGAAAATTCTTATGATCTCTAACAGGCTATAGTAATTTGTCTAGATATGATACGAACAAAAACCAGTAGTAGTTTGCATGCCAGAAATTATCAGCTAAAAGGTATAATTGATAACATAGATTTCATTCCAAATAAAATAACAACAATCTAGAAACAAATTCCAACAAGAAATGTTACAAGAAATACTTTTCAATAACTTGTGATTACCATCTACCACCACCCAAGATACTATTTTGTGTGTGTGTGTGTGTGTGTGTGTGTGTGTGTGTGTGTAAAGGATTATTTAACATCTGCCCTCCTAGCAAATTTTAAGTAAACAATGCAATATCATTAGCTGTAGCAACCACACTGTACATTAATACTAATGTATTGTACATTGATATATTAGTAGGCCTAGGACTGCTCATGTTGTACTAAGTTTGTTCATCTTAGACCAACATCCCCCATTTTCTAACCCCACTTCGTCAGCCCCTAGAAACCACTGTTCTATGCTATTTTTTTTCCAGTTTTGGGAAGTGAACTCAGGCAGTCACCGCGCCACTTAGCTATATTTCTATACTTTTGAGTCTGACAGTTTTAGATTTATACCTGTACGGTATTTATTTTTCTGCATCTGGCTTATTTTGTTTATAATACTGTCCTCCACGTTCATCTATGTTTTGCAAATGGCGGAGTTTTCTTCTTCTTCTTTTTTTTGGTGGGGGGCTGGAGATTGAACTCAGGACCTTGCGCTTTCGAGACAGGCGGTGACCACCACCAGCCCTCTAT